TTACATCCCTGTGACTATTTTTTAACTACCAATTTGCACATCTTAATCCCTTTCACCCATTCCTTCAACCTCCCTCCCATCTGGTGACTACCAGTTTGTCTCTGTATCTACGAGTTTACTTCTGTTTTGTTTGTTCATTTATTGTTTTCTTTTTTAGATTCCACATATAAGCAAAATTATATTGTCTTTGACTTATTTCAGTTAGCATAATACCCTCTAGGTCCATCCATGTTGTCACAAATGGTAATAAGATTTCATTCTTTTTTATGGCTGAGTAATATTCCATTGTATAAATGTACCACAGCTTCTTTACCCAGTTATCTATTGATAGACAGTTAGGTTGCTTCTATATTTTGGCTATTGTAAATAATGCTGCAATGAACATATGGATTCACATGTCCCTTCAAAGTAGTGTTTTATGTTTCTTTGAATAAATACCCAAAAGTGAAATTGCTGGGTCATATGGTAGTTCTGTTTTTAATTTTTTGAGGAACCTCCATACTGTTGGGTTGTCGGAAAAGTCCTGACGGATTTTTTCTGTTTTTTGTGGCAAAAATGCATCATGACTTTTCCGACAACCCAATATTTTCCATAGTGGCTGCACCAATTTACAATCCCACCAACAGTTCAGGAGGGTTCCCTTTGCTCCAAGTCTTTGCCAACACTTGTTTGTTGATTTGCTGATGATAACTATTCAAACAGATTTGAGGTGATATCTCATTTTGGTTTTAATTTGCATTTCCCTGATGATTAGTGACATTGAGCATCTTTTCATGTGTATTGGCTATCTGTATGTCCTCTTTGGAGAAATATCTATTCAGGTCCTCTGCCCATTTTGTTTGTTTTTTGATGTTAAGTTGTATGAGTTCCTTATATATTTTGGATATTAACCCCTTATCAGATGTATCACTGGCAAATATTTTCTCCCATTCAGTAGGTTGTCTTTTTGTTTCATTGATGGTTTTCTTCTCTGTGCAGAAACTTTTTCGTTTGATATAGTCCCACTTTTTTCTTTTGTTTCCCTTGCCAAAGAAGACATATTCAAAAAAATATTGCTAAGAGTGAAGTCACAGAGTTTACTGCCTGTGTTTTCTTCTGGGAGTTTTATGATTTTAAGTCTTACATTTAAGTCTTTAATCTGTTTTGAATTTATTCTTGTACATGGTGTAAGAAAGTGGTCTAGTTGCATTTTCTTTTGCATGTATTTTTCTAGGTTTCTCAACACCATTTATTGAAGAGACTGTCCTTACCTCATTATATATTCTTGCCTCCTTTATCATAGATTAATTGACCATATAGGTGTCAGTTTATTTCTGGGCTCTCTATTCTGTTCCATTGATCGATGTGTCTATTTTTTTTATGCTGGTACCATGCTGTTTTGATTACTATAGCCTTGTAGTACAGCTTGATAACAGGTAGCATGACACCTCTAACTTTGTTCCATTCTCAAAATTGTTTTGGCTATTTGGGATCTTTTATGGTTACATATAAATTTTAGGATTATTTATTCTAGTTCTAGTTCTGTGAAAAACACCATTGGTATTTTGATAGGGATTACACTGAATCTGTAGATTGCTTTGAGTAGTATGGACATTTGTTGGCTTTTCATTTCATTCCTTTGCTGTGCAAAAACATTTTAGTTTGATGTAGTCCCTTTGTTTCCCTTGCCTGTGGAGACATATCAAAAAAAAATATTACTAAGAGTGATGTCAAAGAGTTTATTGCCTATTTTTTTCTTCTAGGAGTTTTATGTCCAGCAATATTTGCTTTATATATTTAGGTGCTCCTACATTGGGAGCAGAAATGTTTACAAGAGTTATATATATCCTCTTGTTGGATTGATCCCAGTATCATTATAAAATACCCCTTTTTTGTCTATTGTTACCGCCTTTGTTTTAAAGTCCATTTTGTCCCATATAAGTATTGCTACCCCAGCTTTTTTTTTCCATTTGCATGAAATGTATTTTTCCATCCATTTACTTTTGGTCTGTGTGTGCTTTCAATCTGAAGTGGGTCTCTTGTGGGCAGCATATGTAAGGGTCTTGTTTTCTTATCCATTCAGCCACCCTATATGTCTTTTGATTAGAGCATTTAGACCATTTATATTAAAAGTAATTACTGACAGGTATGTAGTTATTGCCATTTTATTAATTGTTTTCTGATTGTTTTTGTAGTTCTCTGTTCCTTTTCTTTTTCATGTTGATGACTTTCAATAGTGTTATGTTTGGATTCCTTTGTCTTTTTTTCTTGTATATCTCTTGTAAAGTTTTGGTTTGTGGTTGCCATGTACTTCATATATGCCAAGCTATGTTTATAGCAGCCTATTTTAAGTTGATGGTCACTTAAGCTTGAACACTTAAGTGATTCTAAAATCACTACTATTTTTACTTATTCCCGGCGTGTTTTATGTTTCTGTCATTCTTTTTCACTTCTTTTGTGAATGTGTGTTTGTGTGTATTTCTTGGGAGTGGCTCTGGTGTAGGCCGAGGTAACTCCTGGTGGGAGTTACAAAGTTATCTGTGGTTGGTTGCCCCTTGTGCTAGGCTTGTAGGCACTTTGGAGAGGCTATGCTGTGAACCAAGGCCGGCTGCCAGGTTGGGACCCTTGAGTGGGTACCACAATGTGAGATGAGGCCAACTACCACTTGTGCCGGGTCTGTGGCCGCTTAGTTGAAACTATGTTCCCAGTCAACACTGGCCACCAATTCTGCCAGATTTCGGGTCATCTGCTGGGATTTATAATGTAGGTTGATTCCAGTTGCTCCTTCTGCTGGGCGTGGGCCACTTAGCAAGAGGTACAGGGCAGGCTGAGACCAACCACTGCTTGTTTGGGGTGTGTGGACCTTTGAGAGAATTCAGGAAAATCTACAGCATGAGCGGAGGCAGGCTGCTATATGGAAGAGCCATTGGAAGAGGTTCAGATTTGGCACGTAAGTTGGAGTGGGGCAGGGTCTCATGGATTCACCCGGGCAAGGCAAATGGTATTAGCTAGGTTAATGGAGAGCTCAGATTTGGCACTCACCTTCTCTGGACTGCCTGGGTGAGGGGAGCTCCACAAAGGAACAATGGTGCCTGCCAGCATTTCCATCCCTGGAGAGAGCTGCACCATCCCCTACCCTGCCAGCCCTCACCCTGAAGCTAGTCAATTTAGTTTCTCCCTGTATGTTCCTGATACTTTTTGAGCTGCTGCACTGCCGCTGGAGCCCTGAGCAAGTGAGTTTGTGAGTGAGTGAGTCCACATGTGGGCCCCTCAAGAGGAGTGCCTTAGACTCTAGCAGCCTGCATCTCACACAGAATCCCTGCTGGTTTTCACAGCCAGATGCTAGGGGGCCTCCTCTTCCTGGTGCTGCGACCCCCTCGCTCTCACAGGGGACCTCTGCAGCCGAGATAGCCCTCCCCATTTTTAACCATGACATGTGGGTGTGGTACCTGCCTGTTCCACTTCTTTTCTTTTTTTTCTTTTTTAAGCTGAGCCATCTTGCCACCTGTTGGCAGCTCAGCGGCTGCTCAGCTTGGGCCAGGAATCGAACTGCTGTTGCTCAGAGCTCAAACTCTTGAGTGAGCTCTTAACCAACTGAGCCCCTCGGCCGGCCCCTGTTCCACCTCTTACCAGTCTTGATGTGCTTCTTCTTTATGTCCTTAATTATAGGATTTCTGCTCTACTTGTCTTCAGGTGGTTCTCAATGATGGTTGTCCTATAATTTAGGTGTAACTTGGATGTCATGGGAGGAGGTGAATACAGTGCTTACCTACTCTGCCATCTTCACTGGAAGTTATTAGTGTTTTTAACTTGCTACCTGTAGCACAAATAAACATCTATGTGCAGGTATGGTATTATACTATTACCTGGTAGTACTAAGATAAATCAGGTATGACATTTCCAGAAATTCAGCTTCAAATTTTACTGGAGCTGGGCATGGAGAGTAGGAGGAGGCTAAGTTTAGGATTAGTAAACTATGAACTGCTGGCACTTAAAGGATGGAAAAGGTGTGTGTAGGTAATCCAGGAGTCCAGATGTGCCAAGTCAAATCTAGGCAGTAGGATCTGGAGTCCAGGAAGCCTTGTTGATGACATCATGGAGCAAGGACACAGAACCTAGAGATGAGGGATATGTGCAAGGATCTCTTGGCAAAGGGTTATGTTTAGGTGAAAGCCTGAGTATGTGAGTACACCTGAGATGGCAGGTAGACTTGGCTGAAAAGCACTGGCTGGGTGTTCTCTGATCACGAGCTCTGTGGGGGCAGCATCATACCTGGTTCTCCTTTGTGTGGCCAGATGTGACTTGCTCAGCAGCAGTGTCTGGTATGCTTGCCCTTTTCAGAGTCCCTGGGCATGTTGGTGAGAGTCTCTTGGAACAATCTCCCTCTAGTCCTTTCTGAGCTGCCTAGCCCCGCTGTCCACTGCTACCTCTGTTCTCTGGGTCTTCCCTCTTGCCCTAACAGCAGAGCTGAGTTTAACTTTTCCTGAAAGCAGGCGTTGGTAGGAGGTAGAGGGGAAGGGAGAAACACCAGCTAACAGTGCAATACTAAGGATAGCAGCTCTGTTTGCAACCAGGGCTCAGTCTTGCGGGGGTCCCTCTAAGAAACCAGGGGACAATACTTCCCAGGAAACATAAGCAGGGGCATTTATCCTATGGCTCCCATCACCCTGTGGTTAAGGATTGCCAGTGTAGGAATTAAGAACCTCCAGTTTGTACTCCTGGCAGAGAAAGAGAGCTTCAGGGCTGGAGATGGAAACCATCAGTGTGCTGGGAGCTGTCTGCAGCTGCAGGTGGGCCAGGGAGCTCCAGAAAGAGGCAGTAACACCACCGAGGAGGACCAGAGGATACAACTTCTGCTTTAAGAGTCACTCCTCTTGACCTTAGCTTTCTCTGGCCACTCTGGCCTGCCTCTTTCTGATGCCCACCCCTACCCTTGCATGGCGATGGCTCCAGTCCTTTCCACACCTCAGAATGAAAAGAATGTTCTTACCCCATGCCAAAAACTCACCTCAAAAACTCACCTCATTTCCTTTCCCAGGATTAGCCACTTCTTAGGGTGTTGATAGAGGCAGCATCCTCTGTTCCCTCTGGGTATACTCTGACCATCAGGAAAGTCAATGAATTTCCCAACCTCTCAGGTATGCAGTTGCGTCTGTGGTCACCTTGTTATGTTTGCTTCTGTAATACCTAAACAATAGATATAACTGAGTGAAAGGCAGAAGATGAAGGATTCTAGGAAAGTGCCTGAACCAGATAATCATTTCATTTGATCATGGGCTGCTGCATGTTTCTTACTGAGGTTTCCAGACAAGATGGCTATGTGAGTTTCCTTAAGTATGTTTTATTTGACTGATTCTTATCTTTGAACCTGTGTATGTACCGGGAACAGAAAAGGCTTGGTTGTTTTTGGTGTGTGTGTGTGTGTGTGTGTGTGTGTTTTAAAGATTTTATTAGGGAATTGGGGGAGGAGAACAGCGTTGGGGAATCAGGGAAGAGGAGCAGACAAGTTGCTGTCCTTTTTGTTCTTCAGTCTAGTTGTGGAGGACTTCGCTTCACTGGCCCATGTTGGTATTATCATTGCGCTCTTCCTGGGTGAGGCAGTTGCTTGCCGGCCATTGAATGGCCTCTCACAGCGGCTCACAGCGACTCACGAAAGCTCAGGCCTGCTGCCGGCCAGCCCCACTGCAGCCTACGCCCGTCGCCACAACTCACGGCAGCCCAGTTCCAGGTCGAGCTGTTGTTCACTATCTTAGCTATAGAGGGCGCAGATCCCACATGAAGGCCAGGCCCTCATGTGGGATCTGAACCGGGCCCCTGCTGCTCAGAGCTGGCATCCCAAGCCAACTCTTAACAACGTGCCACTCGGCCAGCCCAGAAAAGGCTTGTTTTAAGGGATGAAAGTCGTAAGGCTCTTCCTTCTGGTTTTCACAATAACACATGACTGAAATAGGATACCTTTTTAAGGAGTGAAACCAAAAGGTGCCTTGGGCCTAAAGGTTCTACAGGAGGGTTTTTTGTTTTGTTTTAGTGTATGTGTCTTTCTCCATGATAGGCCCAGGAGAGTACATCTTACACTGACCTTAGTCAACAATGTATTAAGCAACAACCATTGGATTTGCTATATGCTAACTGCTGAGTTTAAGGTATATAAAAGTAAATGTGTCACAGTGCTGCCTTCAGGTAACTCACAACCTGGTAGCACAAAGGGCTGTGGAATACCAAGTAGGAGTTTAGGAAAGATGTCATGAAAGTGGGGGCATCTTGAATGGGCCCTTATGGAAGGACCAGAATTTCAGCCATCTGAGGAAGGAGAACATTCCAGTCGGCACAACACCAGTCAAGCCCCTGTTGATTTCAGAGTGAGTGAAGGGAGAGTGCTGTAGAGACGAGGAGCGAATGGGCAGGTGATCATCAGGACTTGTTGGGTAGGATGCGTGGCTAACCCAGATGTAAACCCAGATCTTGGTTTCTAACCCTGCTGCCCAATGATAGAAACCAGGGCATCTGGAGAAGTGGCAGACACTAGGACTAGAGCAAGACATATAGAAGATGAGCCTGGAGCATCTTGCCAACCAAAAAGAGGTGCTGAGAAAAAAAATCTATGGGGCACCATGTTGAAAGTGTTCAGGACCAACCTGAAAGATCTCCCAATGGCAAGAAAGATTAAATAATTTGATCAAATAAAAAAAGAAGGATACTATTAGATTATAACCCAAAGTCTAAAATAAATAGCCTTAAGTCCATATTGATATAAATGAATGGCTGAATAAATTAGAAGGTACAACTCTTCCTTACAGAATAATTCCAAATAATTTATGTAGTTACGACCCATTCAAGGAGGTAGAGGTTAACTCCCTTGAGTGGACTGCATTTAGAGACTGGCTTCCAATGATTATGGTACAGACACTACTTTGGCCAATTGATCCAAGTTAATTTCACCAGTGATAAGTCATATTACTAGCATGTACCCTTGATATGATGCAATGAAAAGGGCACTTCACCTCTGTGGTCTTCCTCCCCCAAACCCATAACCATAGTCTAACCATGAGAAAAACAGGAAAAACCCAGTACTCCTCAAAACTGTCAAGGTCATGAAAAACAAGGCAAGTATGGGAAAGTATCACAGAACAGAGGCAACTAAGGGGACAATGATCAGTAGGTGTGAGCAGAAAAACGACATTAGGGAAAAACTAGTGAAACCCAAATAAAGTATGAAGTTTGGTTAATAGTTATGTACCAATGTCAGTTCATTATTTGTGACAAATGTACCATAGTAATGTAAGATGTTAACAATAGATAAAACTGGGTTTAGGATATGCAGGAACTGTCTGAACTAACGTCGCAGCTTTTCTATAAATCCTGAAACCATTCTAAAATGAAAATTTTATTTACAGAAAGATGAGCCCACATCACAGAGAACCTTGAACTAAGAATTTTGGACTCTATTCAGTGGGCAGTGGTAACTACTGCTGGCTTATGAGCAAAGTGACAAGATCAGAAATGGGGCTTTATGAAGACAACCTAGGAACAGTAGGAGTGTTGCGTAGAGGCAAAGTATCCCCTTGTGAGATAATGACAGTATCAAATGAGAGGAGTGGCAGTATAGATGGGAAAAGGTTTAAGAGAACCTAATGAGGTAGGGAATGAGTAGCTAAAGTAAACCAGGCTGACTCTAAGTGGCAGATGTCAAATGGGGATTACACCATGAATCCTAGGAGGTGCAGTGTCTTGAAGGGTTTTGATCATATTGGTTTTGAGAGTTGCTTTCTTACACCCAAAAGTACGTAAGTTGAAGTTGCAGCTATGCTAAAACTGAAACAAGAATGAAGAGAAAGACAGGAGCTCTGAGTTCCAATCTTGGTTCTACCACTAAAACGTTTCTCTGCAGCTCTTATTACTCTTCTGTGAAACCAAGAAGATGCCCTATAAAATCTTTCAACTGAACTGTCCGATACAGTACCCATTCACATGTAGCTATTCAAAATAATTAAAAATGCATTTAGTCACACCAACTACATTTCAAGTGCTCAATAGTCAAATGTGTCTAGTGGCTACCATATTGGATGGTGCAGAAATGAATATGCTCATCCTAACAGTAAGTTCTTTTGGACAGCACTGCTTTAAGGTCTTCCTGCTATACCACTCATTGATTCTAGAATACTTTAAGATAATGTACGGGCCGGCCGAGTGGCATATTGGTTAAGACTTGGCCTGGAATTCCAGCTCTGAGCAGCAGGGCTCCGGTTCAGATCCCACATGCGGGCCAGTGATGCTGCACCCTCTACAGCTAAGATGGTGAACAACAGCTCGACCTGAAGCTGGGCTTCTGTGAGTCTCTGGCCAAGGCGTAGGCTGCAGCCTCTGCTGCAGTGGGCCACTGTGCTACCGTGAGCAGCTGACAGCTCCGAGAGCTGCCAAGAGCCACCGTGAGTGGCTGTCCAGTGGCTGGCAGCCAATTTGCCTCACCCAGGAAGAGCACAATGATAATGCCAACATGGGCCAGTGACGTGACATTCTCCATGACTAGACTGAAGAACAAAAGGACAGTAACTTGTCTGTTCCCCTTCCCTGATTCCCCAATGCTGTTCTCCTCCCCCAATTCCCCAATAAAATCTTTAAAAAAAAAAGATAATATATACTGCTAGTCTTAAACTGGAGGAGGCACTTTCTGGTCTCTGAAAAACTCAAAAGCTGCATGAAAGTCTTATTATTCTTTTATTTATAAATAGTGGAGAATAAACTATTTCTATAGAGTGGGACTAGGGAACTTGGGACTACAATAAGAAGAGGAGACTCGGGCCAGCTGAGTGGTCCGATGGTTAAGAACTGTCTTGGGACGCCAGAGGGCCCCGGTTCAGATCCCACATATGAGGGCCAGTGACACTGCCCTCTACACCTAAGATGCTGAACAACAGCTCAACCTGGA